CTTCCGTACCCGGCGTTCGTTCCGAGGTAGACGTCTGTTTCCGAGACACCAGTGAGGAGCTGTACGGAGAGTAATCGAGGCCAAATCTAGTAAGGGCTTTCGGTGTGTGGCCTTATCTACGGCGTTCGGCAGCAGCCAAACTTAATGACGATGAAGGAAAATGGCCGCGTTGTCCCTTTACGTTTGCGATTCGGTCGCTTCTAGATTTGAATAACCTTGCTGTGCGCTCCAGTTCCAAAGGTCGCGGTCCATTTCAGTCCCACACAGCAGGCCAGTGTCGCTGTCATCCCGCGGGTGAAGACGCAGGCTCACTGGGCTAGATGGAGTTGCTTTGCGCTCAGCGGCTCGAAGTTGGGAAGATAAAACCCCATTTTCCTGGCTGTCGACCCTGGGCTGCTTTCCGCGACGCTAAGTCCTAAAGTCCTTAATACTTTTTGGTTGGGGCATCTCTCCCTCAGGGTCCTCTCAGAATCCAGCTGCAGTGACCTCTGCTTGGTTCTGAGGATCTCCGACTTGCGGCCCGCCAAGTCCATCAGTCTCACGACAGATCGGGGCCCAGCTGCCCCCCCCCCCAGCCTGGCTGGACAGTGGGGCCCAGCCCTCGCTGCTCTCCAGGCCTGTGCATGCGGGGGCTCTGGCTGCTTCTCTGCCTGTCTCTGCCCCCTCCAGATCTTTCTAAGAGCAGAATCTTGGGCCACTGGCCTGGTGGTAAAGGCACTGAATCCCACATAGCAGACTCCTCAGTTTGATTCCTGGACCCAGCAGCTTGAAAAACATGCCAGAGGCTTATGCGTGGGCTCCCAAGAATGGAGGAGAAGGGATTGCTAGTGGCCATCCCCCCTGGAGAGTGATTTTTCACTTTCCCTCTCTCCAGGAAATGGATGTGTCCTGAGGGGCACCGTGGGGATGGGGTTGAGGGGGTGGTCTTGTTACTTTCCAAGGTTAGGCATTAACTCCCCAGGCTGTCCCAGAGGACTCTGTCCTTTTGGCTACTTCTCCCATCTCATTGGTGCACTCAGAGTCCCCCACTCACGTGTCACCATCCCCTTCCTCCATCTCACCTTGACGTATTTTCCTTAGATTCTGCTCCCACTGTGTTTTCTTTTTTTTAATATTCATTTATTTACACGTGCCCAGCATGGATTTCAAGCCACCAGGTCCAGGGCTCTCAAACCGTGGCCAAGCATGTAGGAGTCCAGTGATGTAACCACTCTGCCACCTGCTGATCCCACTCCCACCTTTGTTTAAAAAACATTTTCGCCTTCAAAATGTAAGTGGAAGCCACAACATTATTTTAAAAAGAAAAGAGTTAAGGCGTTGGATTCCCACCTGGCCAACCACGACTTAAGTCTGGGACGTGGACCTGGCAGCCTGCAAATCATGCCAGGCGCATGTCTGTGCAAGCCCAGAACCCCAGACAAAAATGGAGGAGAAGGGATTGTAGCATGGCCAGCCCCCATGGGGGTGACTTCTCTTCCCCTCTCTCTTGTCTCCCTCTCTTTGTGTCTTGCACACAGCTCCAGCACACATGCCCTATGACAAAAAAAACTTACAAAAAGAAAAAGACCACAAAAACATTCTCTCACTTAATCCTTTTACTATTTGTGATAGTCAGCACTGATAGGTCCTCAGTCCCATACTGGAACTCTTCGAGGCCAGGTGGTGGTGTTTTGTTTTGTTTTGTTTTTTAAAGAATTATTTTATTTAACTTTATTTATTTACTTATTTATTTTTATTTGACCAGAGAGGGATAGGATGAGAGAGAGAAAGTGAGAAAGCAAGCCGCCAGGTCCAGGACCTGAACCACAGTCGGCCATGTGGGAGTCCAGCACCCTTAACCACCACACCCCCAAGGCCAGGCATATTTTGAAATTTAGCATTTTTTGAGCCTTTGAAAGGTATGTAGTGTACATACTGTATATTATGTATATCCTCATAACACTCTTTAATGAAACACATTAATATTTTCTTTTTTTTTAAAGAGATTTTTGCTGTAGGGTGCATGTGCTCATCAGAGACACAGAGACAGAGAGATAGAAAGTGAGAAATCATCCCCCTGGGGGATGGCCACACTGCAATCCCTTCTCCATTCTCCTCTCGAGATTTTGGACACGCACACACACGCCTGGTGTGAGTTTTAAGCCACTGGATCTAGTACTCGAACTGCGGTTGACTACGGGGGAATCCAGCAATGTCACCATTGTGCCATCTGCTGGGCCCATGACACACAGTAGTAGTTCTGTAAGGAAGCCCGAGTGTTCACAAAGAGAAGGATAAGTATATAGCTTCACATCAGTTCAAGGCTGACTTTGCTGCCTAGAAGAGTCGGTTTAGTTTTTGTCACTAAATGATGTAAGTTTTTTTAATTTTTTTCAGGATTGCAAACAGATTATGACCTGCATTGTCCCCTTTTTACAGAGAAAACTAAGCCTCCAGCCAACTTGACAAAAGTCACACAATGACTAATGGACAGGGCCAGCCCCATAGCCTAGTAAAGGGAGCTAGATCCCACAAGGCTGATGGTGGCTGGAATCCCAGCCCTGTGTGCGTGTGCATGTGTGCCCCAAATCCCAACAGGATGGAGAAATGGAGAGGGAATTGTATGGCCATGCTCCGTTGGAGGGCGCTCCTCTCTCTCTCTCTCTCTGGTGAGACCCATGTAATAAATGATAGGGCTCAACTCTGTCCTCCTTTAGGTTGGGTTTCACATCAAACTCAGGATTTGCTACCCCCTCATCAGAAAAGGATCTTTGGAGGACTGAGTCACTCATTCACTCAAGAAAAAATTCTTTTTTTTTCTTTTTTTCTTTTTTTCAAGAATTACTTACTTAGGGGCCAGCAGTGGTGTGGTGGTTAAAGGCACTGGACACCCATGTGGCTGACCATCATTCGAATCCTAGACCAAGATTTGTTTTCTCACTTTCCCCCTCTCTCTCTGTCTCTCTCTGGTCAAGTTAAATAATAAATAATAAAATTAATTCTTTTTAAATTTATGTTATTTTTAATTTGCCATAGCACATGTGTGCTCACCAGAGAGAGAGACAGAGATAAAGTGAGAAAGCAAGCTGCTGGGTCTAAGACTTGAACCAGTCAACCACATGGGAGTCCAGCACCCTAACACCACCAGCTGGCCTCCAAAAAGATATTCTTACCAAAGGCCTGCTCTGTGTTTATTGCAAAAGGGTGCATGAATGCAGAGGGAACAAGAAACCCTCTGTCACAGACCAAATAAGACTTTAAAATTGCGATGATGATTTCAAAAGGAAAATGCCACTGAAGGTCTTGGGCAAACTATTCTCCCTCAGTAGATTCCTCTTTCCAGGCAAGAGGGAAAAGAGCATCTGCAGCAGACCTGCCTGCCTTGCTAGTTGTTCAACAACCCCCACAGGTTATGGCCTTGGCC